TACATGCTTTCGTATTCACAACTCATAAGAAGTGCTTAGGTGTACCTCGAGCCCTTTTTTTTTAACAAGCTGTCTAGGTTTGCAGGTTAGTTAGACTAATAATGGCAAGAAAGACAAAAAGAAAAAAGGATACTACAATCGAGAACCGTAGCTAACATTTGTATAGCATTGTCAAGTGAGCTGCCTTGACGCGCAATTTATGAGCTATTCATACTGGGCAAAAATAGAGCGGGCCTCAGTGGGCACGTGAAAATTAGCGTCGGGCCGGCTGTCGAAAATTAATACCATGCCACGGGCGGGCCCGGGCCCAAGAGAGAGCAGGCCGGGCTGGGCCAGGCTCCTAAATATTGGCCCATGCAGACCTCTAGCTCTGGCTATATACCCCATCTTTAGTATTTCCTCTTTTGCAAGACTTCTTTTTCTCTCAGACCACCTTCGTCACAAAACACAGTCAGGATGATTTTGTGCACACAGGGTTGCTTCTCGAACTTTTATCACCTTGGTGAACTAAGTTAAAGGGACACTGACAGGGTATTTATGCTCGCCGAGGTTTTTAGTTGTACGTGACATATGAGAGCTCAACTACCCAGAACAGAATTTGCGGCTCGAAATTCGGTTTTTTTCCGCCCGAAAACCGCCGATCAAGAACTGGCCGGTTCGAGTCTCGCTCACTCTCTTTTCCGCGGTCACGGGCCGTTTTCTAAGGTATCGATGCGACCACCAAATTTAATCAAAGTCGTGGGTCACTGAAAGCACACACTCAATATTAAAAATAGAAAAAAATATAAAACCCATTTTTTGTGGCTTCTAAAAAGCTGCAAATACGTTGATTGAAAAAAAAGTTCCACAGACAACCGGAAGCATTCTGTGCGTGCGTCGTTTCGCGTATCGTGGGACTCGCAGGGACGGCGATGGCAGCGGACGACGGGCGTGGGACCTCTATTTCAAAACTGTCGTTCGCGGTACCGGCGAATTTTGTCTGCCTTTAAAAGAGAAATTTGGGACTGGTCAAAAGAATTGGTATTCATCCCGTACGACACGCCCGACCACCAAGCCGATTTGCACGAAGACGTCGCCGAGCCGTCGCTCCCTTCTCGTGGCTGAAGACATCGCTCGCGCAAACGTCAAGCGCGACGTGTCTACTTCGAGTGGAATATGCACGCGTACGATTTCTTTACTAGGTGAGAATGTCGCCAATGCGTGGTGCATCCCGACTTCGACCCGGGAGTGCTTTTGCTAGAGGAAAATCGGCAGCAAACTTTCCAACTTACAGTTTATCGGCTGAATTATTACTAAGGAAAAAGATACCCCATTTTCGATATGCCCCAGTAGCTCAGTGGGAAAGACGTCCCCGTAGCACCCGGTAGAGCCGGGTTCAAACCCCCGTGAAACTTTTTTTTTTTTTTTTTTTTTTGTAAATATTTTCTGATGTCTACATTTCTTTTTTTTTTTTTTTTTTTACAATTATTACTGAAGAAACAAAAAAAAAAAAGAAACAAATGTTGTGGACGACACGTCGCTGAATTAGATGGTATGGGATATCCTTTTTGACACCTGCGAACTCAATGTAATCACTTTCCACAAAATACAAGGAGCATATAAATCAGGTAGCGTCCGCTTTCCGAGGTGCCCGTCAATGGTTTACAGGAATTGCAGCCAGCCATTGGTCCCGATCCCGTTGATCTTTCGGAAACTCTGTCGCACAATGCCACTTCTGTTTCGGACGCGGGACATGTGAGCCAGCTTTTCACGCAACATCTTGGGTGTATTCTTTTCGGAGCCGATCAAAATTCACCACGGGCACTCACTACTCATCTCCAACTCCTCAATGTACAAGACAACTCATCTTGGAGTAGAGAACAACGAGCGGAACATACATAACTGCAAAAGAATCCCACGGCGAGCAGTTCCCAAACACCGCATGTCGTCTGCTACCGGGAAGGAGAAAAAAAACAAAAAAACACACGGTCGGGTGTAGCCACGTGACTTCCGCCACTCACTCTCTTCTCTCCACTTCTCCGACCTCCGTCGGGTTTCGGTTTCGGTTTCGAGCAGTTGCGCCTTTTGACTTTATTAAAAAAATACGGTACTCTGTTGCAAAATATTAATTGGGTAGTCCCCCGACACCATAATGAAGCGCCTGGCAAAAAATTTAAAAACAAATTTGGGGGGTGTCAGTGTCCCTTTAATGCCATGCCATTGATTGTTTCTGTTTCCGGCTCCTAACTGTAAACCCATGTTTAATTACAAGATGTGCGTGACAAAAATGAGTCGCCTTCGTCCTTGCAGGGCTGGAAAAGTTTCCCATAAATTGGGCTCGCTTGTGAACATCGGTCAACATTTCCAAGACCCATTGTGCACAAACCTCACTTTAGCCGAGGTTCCTAACAACGGCTATCACAGTTACACTCCTGTGGTGCCTACCAAAATGACATTTTCAAATTCCCCCGATTTTTCCAGGTTTTCACATTTTTCCCGACTATTTTATCAAAATACCCAGACCAACTCCTAAGGGGACAGAACATGTTTGGACACTAAAATGCAATTTAGTTTTTATCTGAAAACACTGACATGTCTGACAGGGCAGTAGTGACCACGCACTGGATCACCTTACAATGTCCATCAATTCTTGGATATTCTTTGCCGAATAAATGTGTTATTATGAACAAACCACTCGGCAAACTTATGTCCTTAAGATGGGTTTAAAGTTATGGCAGTCCTTTTGTGGTTCTGTGCAACTCAACCACTTTCTTTTTGTTTCACTACTTCAGGCACATTATCTCAATTTGAATAAAAGAGGCCCGTGAGTCTGCCTCATTCGGAAGTCTTACTTTCTTATCTTTAACAAAATACTTATCAATCGCTGTTGCTCAGAGGAAGGAAAGCTCAATTTCCCTGACCAATGCCGATTGGGGTACAAACGCCCACACCTTTCCAGGCTTGCCAAAATACCTGACAATTCCCGGTTCGTAAACACCCTGTGCTCCATTTCGTACAAAGCATACAATGCTATTAAAGCCACTGGACCAGGCGCGTAGCTTTATCTAGAATCTCATTTGCCCGCACTCTCATAAAATAGTGACGTTAGATTGAGCAGTGCACTTGCGCCAGTAGCTTCGACAGTTTCTTACTACGTACGAGACGAAGCATGTTTTTCAAATAGACCAGCTGAAAAATGTGCAATGCCCTCTGCTGCCAAAAATTCTGGGAACCAGCTGTACAGAGGCAGTTGTCGCAGACAACGGAGGCGAGCGAGCGAGCGAGGACAGCCCGGCAGCTGTTCTAACCTCTCTTCAGCGCCACATGGTAGACGCTATGGGAGCAAGGAGGAGCATACAGGACTATTCCATACCTTGCGGAATTGTCTTCCAGAACATTTGCAACTGGACTATTCCAACTGCAACGCACAATTCCTGAGCTGCGATGCGTCACAACTTCGTTATCCACCGTCAATGGGATGGTCGCTTTTGAGGCTCGTCTCCAAAGGTTATTTTGCCACCTCTAAAGTGTATTGACCACTATGTAACCACAGGCATGCTGACACTAACAGCTCCATACACACTCTTTGGGAGCATGTTATGAATAGGTTTCACGTTGTATGCCGTGCAAAATTCAACTACCACCTTCACTTGTTCAGAAAATGCTAGCCTTGAGAGTAACATGCTAGCATTGTGCACCAATGCCAAGGAAAAGGACAGTGATCTGCTGATATTGACAAGATTCCAAAGTTCCAGGCCAGTCACCGACAACACGAGAGTGCTCTCGTTGCTTTTCCTCTGCGCTTTGGCTGCGTGTGATTGCTTGAGGCATGCAAGACACCGTTATCGAAGGTAGGACGCTCGTGCTGGGGCGGGGCAACTGAAGGGCCTCCCGGCCATTCTCATCCTGACAGCGACTAGAGGTACTTTGATTACAAGTTTTAGTCTACTTATGAATCCACCACACAAGCACGCAAGTGCTTTCGTGAGGCAGAAATCAATGTATGTGAATAATCTTGTGCTAATAAAACTATTATTATTATTATTAACTAGTCTCATTTATAAAGGGCCCTCCTTTTATTGCAAAACACGCTTCTAGTGTTTTATGGACAAAAAAAAAAAGACAGAAAAATCTGCCTGTTAAGGGGGGACACTACCGGGGTATGCCAACTTTTTAATCGCTCACTCAACCGGCATGATATTTGCAGGTGGTGTTTGTAGCCATATGGGAGGAGATCATCCAAAGTTTCAGCCCTGTGAAACGATTTTATAAGGTACTATACCCCCAGAACGAAGTAAAGCAATGCTTTTCATGGAATCTGCTCAATGAATCTATCGTTGAGAAATGGTGTTGATAACCACATATTTTTCTGGTGGAATGCATACTGGAATACCTGTTGCCGGTTGCTATGAAAAGAAATTTCAGAAAATATGCATTTTTCAAGTTAAAAAAGTTTATGAAAAAAAAAAGTTTTTCTTCACATTTACCAAGTTTTGCAAATGACAATTTTTCACAATAAAGGAACATGAAAATGCAAAATCTAAATTCATAGTAACCGGCTCCATAAAATTTTGGCATATAAGCCACAAATACTAAGTCTCTGATAGTTTCATATTGAAAAAATAGTTTTATTAAAGTAAAATTTATGCCCAAAAAGTGGAACGGGGAAAAACACATTCAAAGTGCTTGAACCTCTACATTTTATTTAGCAACGCTGGACTGAAAATAATTTATAAAAAATAACTATGCCATGTAAACAAATGAAACTGTCTGGGAATAGTCTCTAGATGTTGATGGATGTAAATGTGGCATTTTTCAAAATCAACATTTTTTACAGAAATACATTTTTTCTGGATAGTGTCCCCCCTTAAAGGTTTAGTTGCATTTGATGTTTAAATTCCACATTTTTTGGTCAAAACTAAATTCCACAAAACAATTATTTGGCGGGTAATTGTATGTCCTTGTTGTTAAAATGGAGATCACCAGAAGTGATTGAAAATACATGAAGGAACAATACATACCCTGGCTACCACTCCTGAAATCATGATGTGCTGCTTTGGAGGGCTGCAAACAAAGGAAAATGGTGGTGAGCAAGATCAAAAATTAGAAATAAAATAAAGCAGATTTAAATAAGAAGGCATCCATTTATTTCTCCTGCATTCTAGACTCGGGATCCGAGACCCGAAAAGAACATGCATACATTTCACTGAATTAGTAGTGGAGTCCTTCGAAAGTTTCTGCTGTTATGGTCGAATTGCAATGTATGGATTGTGAAAGAGCCAAACTTTTTGTCACTCTTTTAGATGAACAGCCCACAATTTCTGAAATCAAATTAGATTCCCTGTACCAAGACAACAGCATGTACTTTAATTGAAAATATGTGGCCTTCCCAAACAAAAAAATGAAGTCCATCAATCTATAACAAACTCAGCTCTGTTACACCACAGTGCGGTGGTGGCGCGTCGGGCGCACTTTCGATCTGGGGCTGTGGGCACAAGTCACCATGCAGGATACGCATTTGTGTTGTTTTGGAAAAAAAAAACAGACAAAAACCTGCCTTCTCGTCAAAACGTCACGACTGGGGCTGTACCAAAAGTCGGGAAGGGTATGAAGGTCAGTTTTCATGTGTTTTCTGTCTGCTTGTTTCCTCCGAGAACGTGGATAGGGGCCGTGAAAAAGAAAACCAGATGCCGTCGGACCACGACTGCTTGTGCGGGAAGCACTTTGGGTTGAATTCACGGATACTTGTGGGCGGGCGATTTATTTGTGCTGTTCCAACATGAACGCAGGAAAACTGCCAAGTTGTACCGATTACCTGTGGACTACATTCAGTGTCTTCAAGTTCCAACGGCCACCTGATCGTTCAAACTGTCGTCTGCTCTTTCAAACATTTCTGCCTATTGTCATCTGCTCGTTCAAAGTTCAAATGACAGCAACCTGTAGACCACACATTGACCCGGTAATTGCAATAAGAAGTAATTGCAGGCCTCAACAGACTTTCCAGGTTGAGGGTTGGTTGGGGTAGGTAGGCTTGGTGTAAACAGTAGATACAAGGAGATGTAGATAATTGTTACCAGTGGCCACCACCGACTTGTTATGCCTGATTCACTTGGTCCAATTCTGCTCGCGATTTTCAGTATTGACATCGACCATCTCAGCTATGGTTCACGCTCTTGCAGCCCAAGCGACGTCATGATTGAAAATAGAGAGCAGAATCTCATCATGCGAATCAGGCTTTAGCGTCCATTCTGCGGAGTCCATGCGGAATGAATAGCTGCATGTCATATTATTCACGCGAAACTTTGCGGTGTAATGAGCCTCACTAATTTTGCTAAAGCCGCTAAAGTAGTCGACATTGTCAGGCAGACATAGAATCAGCAATTCCAATGCGACGAGAGCACAGGGACTCACACTGACGCCGACATTGTAGTATTCCAATGGTTTGTTTATAAACGACAGTGACCCTTTTGTCCACACTCCATTGTGCATGCGCTGCGCTGGTGGCGTCTGCTAGGGTTGCTCAGTTTGTTTGTAAACCTGAGTTGGTGTATACCTCAGTTCCTTCCTTATGCCATATGCAGTAAAATGAGCACAGATGGAAACAATTGCACGTTTAAGTGATTAAATATAAGCAACATAAAAAAGGAGTGCTAGATTTGTTTTCAAGTATTATCTAAGACTGGGTATTTCCAGAAGAAAAGGCTGCTCGATTGGCGGCCAAAAAAATATGCTTACGATTTTCTCAATGTCCAAATAATTGGCGACTTGGCAAAAATTATTTAATGGCACCATTTTATGATTCACATGACTATATCTTTGCAGTTAGAGAGAAAGGGGGAGAGAAAAAAATGGTGATTTTGGAGAGATTGGCAGACACAACTGCACTGTCCTGTCACTCATAATTCGTTTTTCTTTCAGTGAAAGCGGGCAAGAAAATGCAATTTACAATAAAATCCCGCAAGGACGCCCTTTCCAGACAGCGTCCATTCCGTTTTTTTGGCTAAATATCTGTAACATAAAAATGCAAAAATATCCCCCCCCCCCCCTCCCGATTCTCGTCGAACATTACGTCATGTCCAACTGGAATCACATCAACTCCGCAATCTGCCATGCCAGTATGTGTGACAAGCGAGTTCACAGCAAGTTCCCGTATTATGTCTGCGATCTGCGTGCGCATAATCAGTTCCCGTGACATGAGAGTTCGTAGCGTGATCCTGCTTTTTTTTTTTGTCCACGACACCGGTTCTCGTGGCATACAAGTCTGTAGCCAGTTTCTGTGTGTTTACTGCACCATGAAACATGAATCCTATGTATCCGCAGTCTGCTGTATCTTTTTCCTTGACAGAGGAGTTTGTAACAAACTCCCGCGTGTGTATCGCATTGTGAAAATCAAATGTGCCATGTCCGCGATCCGCTTTATCAGTTCCTGTGTCACATGGCTTGTAACAGGTGCCCCTGTGTTTATCATTTTTTTTATAAAATTTTGCTGTCTCATTGTGAAAGATAGCCCACCTCATGTTTTTCACCATTTATTTCTTCGGTGGGTGCCCTTATGGGATTTTATGGTACATTGTTTTCTTACAGAAACACTGCACTTTCAGTTCCCTTTTCTAATGTTCTCATTGCTATAATGCCCAAAGAGGCAGCAAAGCTCATACATAAATATATAAATAATGACATTGCTGAAATTAAATGATGAGATTTCTACATCCCCATTTCTAGTATACAAGGATAGTCAGTTCTTAGGCATCAACCCAATAAACTGGGCTCACATGGCAAACTACATTTGGTTAGGGCACCACAATAGCGAACTTGCTGTACTCATGCAATAAAAGGGCATGAAGGTAGTAGTAGCTAGTGTCAAGAACCTAAGAAACTAACTCCTCCTAAGAGACGAGCCGCCAATGTGAAGAAGCCGAGAAATAAACTTTTATAAAAAGACATGCAGATGCTGCACCAAGGTCTCACTGGAAATTCCGTTTTGAATGCTCACGTGATGGCAGAAAAGCGATTGAAGAGCTTTATTTGAACCCCTCAGCTCCCATGAATGTGATACTCTAACAGGTATGAGTGTAGAGTGATTTTGGCAGAGTGGAAAGTGGCATTACCTGGTGGACACCTCCACAGCAGCCTCTTCTCCCTCTTCCTTCTTCAGCTCAGGTGCCTTCTCGTGACCGGTGCACACTTTATGCTGAGTGATGCGCATGCCACCAGCCTTCACTGCACGGCACAAAGCAATGAACAACTCTTCAGAATCTTCACAAAAGTAAAAGCAATCATAGGGAAGCCTAAGGGACTACAATGTGCGGCAGGTGGAGATACACATGGTCTGGCTGGTCTGGAGTACCTCATTATCACCATGGGGTAGGGGCTCACAGCTTCCCTCTAGAACAAAGTGCCCAGATGCCTTATTCAGGAAGGACAGTCACATTTTTTACAGTATTGGTCCTGCTGTCCCCTCAGCCAGGTCGTGGGACTATGTTTCGTCACACTTTCTCTGAACCAGCCCCAGTTCCCCTACTGTAAGTCTCACTTCAAAGACAAGCAGCCCGCGGCACCCGTGGAATCCTAGTGCTACTGAGCCTCTCCAAGCACATCGGTGCTCACTTCAGTGATGGAAGTGGCAGTTGGCCTTTTGTAGCAGGTTTCTTAGCAGGCAAAAGATTGATTTGGAGCAGCCACCAACACTTTTGGAGCAGATGCCAACATCAACTCTCATTACTTAAAAATGAAAAAAAAGAAAAAGAAAAGAGAAAGGAATGGCATAACTAAACGTTCATCTTTGATATTGAAGCATATTACTTATTACCTTTTGTAATAAGAATAGATAAGACAAAAGAAGAACAGTTTTTTTTTTTGTAGAAAGAGGGCTGAGGTGAAGAGAAAGTTTAATTTACAAAGGGTATTAAAAAATTTTTGTAAGATGCATCATAATGCAACAGTTCACTCTCTTTTACACTCGGTAGTTCACTGAGCGTGTAAGTATAATTTCTGTAAAATGCCCGCATATCCGTTAATGTGTATCAATAAAAATATGTCCCCTAAGTTTTATGAACCTAACCAACTCAAGACTCTTCTATCATAAACTTCAAAAACAAGCACCCACAAATATTATGAATACCTACACTTGTGCTTTAAAAGTGACACTGGTCTTTAGCATTGTTGGAACCAGAGTTAGGTCAAAGTTTGCTGCTCTTTAGATCGACAGCTACTACCGTAACTATTAAAATATAGACCAGAGTTTCTTTCTCATTCTTCCTAAAGCTTCCTAAAATCAGATGCAACCTAGAATCAAGATGAAAGAATGTAGACCTGTGATAGTACTGTACCTAATTTCCAAACATTTGACACTAACCCAGGCGTTCCCCCCCGTCAGCCGCTATTCCTAGTACTCCGGCACGTAGCCAGGATTCTGTTTCAGAGGCGGCCCGCCCATGACAAAATGCTGCATGAGGGAGAGGGGGGAGAGGAGGTCCCAGCAAAATGGAAGATTTCGGGGGGGTCACGCCTTGTGCCACCCCCCCCCCCCTGGCTACGTGCCCGAACTCCGGCGCAAAGCAGTGAAGCTCAACGCGCACGCTGGTTAAAGGTGGTAAAGGCTTAACGTGAGCGGCACAAGTGCCATGGGACAATGGAACCTCGGCACAGAGACATGTGGCAGGCACGATAATTAAATGATCTCATCACGAGTAAAGGAACCTGGTCTCGTCTCTTCCAGTAGCTGCCATCGCCTGGAAATTTGACGATGTCGGTGATCAACCGGCAAGCGTGGTTAATGATTGTTGAGCAATCTCTATACTTCGTTTCACCTTAAGCTAAAGCTTCACCACGTGAAACAGGCGCAATGCTGGCGGCCAGAAAACGTGGATGATAAACTTTTCGTACGCGTTTTTCGACAGCCAGCAATGTGCCTGTTGCACAAGTGGAAATTACAGTGTGACACACTTACCCCGTGCTTCAAAGTTTTCTCAAATTGACCGATACAGTGGATTTAGATGACACTCGGCAAGTTTCCAATTGGAATCATATGCCTTTTTCTACTGTATAAAAAGATAATTAACAAATTTTAGTGAATTACCCGATGTACTGTGACAATCAGCACCCTACATTACGCCCCCAGGACATACAACTCACCTGTACAGGCCGGATTAATCTACCATTCACAGAATCTTTTAAAATGCATCTGTCCGAATTAAAATCAAACGCCGTGTGCATTTGTACCACCTGTCTTTCCTCCTAGCTCTGAATATTAGGGCTAACCAATAATACTTTTTTTTTTAGAGTGCAGCTCTTAGGCGCCCGTTTCCAGCTTAAGCGGCGTCGCCGTCGGCATAACCGTGCGTTGCATTATGGGACGTTTCCCATAATGACGTCACACGTGACGTCACGAGGGCAAGATTTCCCCGCTAATTATGGCGGGAAATTTTTCCGTTAAATTTTCCCACTATATTTAGTGGAGAACTTTTTCCCACTAAATTTAGCGGGGAAATTTTACCCTTCCGACTGTCACGTGACATCACACGTGACCCTCCCCTCCCCCTCGAGAGCTGCGCTCTAATTTGGCATTACAGAGAATTGTAAACATCTCATTTCTTAATTTTATGCTCTGAACCATCTCGGCACCAGTGGGACGCAATTCTTAGCTAAAATGGTATTTTGGCGCAAGATGTAGCAGACTTCCTCTCACGGTGCAATTTGGCACAAATGGCCCAGTACTTTCATCACTGTCACTCCGTAATAACTAGTCTGATGAGTGAACGCTGAAATCGTTTGCCACCAAGATACTAACATTTGGAAGTACACAAACACACAATTTCTTTTTTTCTTACTACGCTTAGAAACGTCCAGATCCAGACTGTCTTACATGATGCACATGAAGCACCAATCGTTGATTCGTCTTCAACAATCTTCACCAATAACGAGGCGAGTGCCATTTCACTCAATGTAGTGATGGAAGCAGGCACTGACAATTTTGGAGCAGGTGTCAACACCTGCCAGCACATTACTTGAAAATGAAAAAGTGATTGCATCGCTAAATGATTTCATCATTGATAATGGTTGGGGGTTCCTCTCTGATACTAAAGAATATTTCTTATTACCTTTTGTGGTAAGAATAGATAGGATGCACACGGAACACAGAGCCTTCCATTTAGAAATAAGATTCTGGTCAGAGTATTATTTAGCCTGTAAATATGATTTTTGTAAAATGCCAGAAAAAAAACAAACAGCATATCTGCTAACATGCCAATCAGTAAAAATGCACCCCCCAAGTTTCATGAATCTACCAAACTCAAGACTCTAATATCATAAACTGCAAAAACAATCACCCATAAATATTACGAAGACCTACACTTCTGCTTTAAAAGTGACACCGATCTCCAGCGGCATTGGAGAGTGAAGTCGTCAAAGTTTGCTGCTCTTCTGATTAATAGCTGCACAGGAACTACGTTGACTACCATATTTATACAAATATAGAACCACATAGTTTTTTCTCTTCCACAATGCAGCTCTTTTAAAAATAGAGGTCAACCTACAATCAAGACCAAAGAAGGTAAACCTATAATAGTTGTGTGCATAATTTCTGGCTGACATGGGTGAGCACTAACCCAGGCGTTCACCCATGTCCCAGCCACTGCTCCTATACTTCGCTTCAGCTGAAGTCCAGACGCAGCTGATGCTACGAGCTGATGGGAACAATCGGACAGCATCAAAAGCGCACCATCATAGTGTTCATGTTCTATCATTGCAGAGCCACATAATAAACACAAAAGCCTAGTGAACTGCGCTTCTGACGCTGCTTGATTGGTCCCATTACCTCGTAGCATCGGCTGCATCTGGACTTAAGTTGAAACGAAGTATAGCACTCTGGTGGAATGAAGCTCGACGTGCACAAGCCGCTGGTGAGAGGCGGCACAGAAGCATGCGGCAGACATGATAATCACATGATCTCATCAGGAGTACAGGACCCTGGTTCTGTCTTATCACAGTAGCCACCATCCTACCATTTTGCAATGTTTTCTTGCGACTTTTAGCTCCCGACAGAAGACATTGTCCGGAAATTTAGACGATGTCGGCGATCAACCTGCCAGTACAGCAACCAGCCAGCGTGGTTGATGAGTATCTCAATACATTGTTTCACCATAATTCAAAGCACAGCTACGAGCCAATGGGACCAACCAAACAGCGTCAAAACATCTTGCCGTTCATGTTCTTACATCGGCTAAACCAATCAAGTGGAGCGAATGTCCCGTGACTTGCACTTTTAGTATGCGTGTTCGTGGTTGTGTATGTTCAAGCCTTCGACTGTGCTTTGTCTTAAGATGGAACAAACTATATGGTAAGTAGAGAAGCTGTAAAGTAGATATTTGTACAGTGGTAATCACACTTGTTCATAATGTGAAAGCGTGCGGCTTACTCCGGCGAGCACTCAACTGGTGGCATTCGTGGCAACTAATTTAATCACTGGAACATTTCGCACGAGGGGTGTCCTGCCTACTCTTTTGGGGGCCGCCGACACACTTTATGCCGGCTTAATAAGAGTTATGGTGAATAATTTTAAAAACACAGCATTGCAATCTTATTTTTTCTTGATAGTGACATAGTTGATAAACCCTCAGGCTTTAGTTTTCTGTTCTATTGATAAGGCTTTATGATGGTTGCAAAGAGTGTGATAGGGTTTCGTTCGGCTGGGCTCCGCGGCCACTGATAGAGCGGGCAGGACACCCCTCGAGCAAGTTGCTCCGTGTTCCTCCACATGACTAGATTAGTTGCTGCTAATGACACCAGTTGAGCACTCGCCGGAGAAAGCTGCACACTTCCGTGTTATGGACAAGTGTGATTACCACTGCACCCCATTTTCCTTTCCTTCTACTTCTCCGAACATTAGGGTTGACCAACAATAAAAATGTATTATTGCTTTGCGTCCCATTACTAGTGAGAGGTGGCACGGAATTACGCCACACCCATCTCGATGCAGGTGTGGTGCAATTCATAACAAAAATGGCTCTTTGGCGCAAGATGTTGCAGACTTTCGTTCATGGCTCAAATGGCACAGCGCTTCCATCACTCTCAGTGGACACGTGTCTCTGGCAAAAGTGGATCCCTTTTTGACATTGTCAGTGCTCGACCATCACGAGTATGGTACCACTCGCTCACCCCACTGGCTCAGCTAATTAATGATTGGTACTCAAAGTGCAGGACAGAGTATACATGCAAGCATTCTGCCACCTCTTTGTAGATGTCAGACTTTGGGGTCTGATAAATATAGTCGCTCAATCTAGATTACATGCAACGTAAAGAGGAAGCAAGGAACCAGGATGAAATCAACCCCCTTCACTTTGCTGCTGTTGAGTATAAGAACAAAGTCTCAGAGGCATGTTACATATTAACCAGGTATCCACAAAAAACAGGAGGGCACTTGATACAAATTCAATATCAACACAAAATATGCCATGTTGTTAATATATCCATATAAAAGGCTTTAACGTTTTGAAGAAGAAAAATAACACACTTGGTTTGCCAATTCACATTGTTTAATTTGGTTTCTTGCGTCTCCAAATTTTCTTAGAAAATATCAGCATCACATGGTCAGTAGCAATCACGAAATACGACAAAGCGTCACAAGTCACAGCTTTCTCCCCTTCGTTTGCTTAGTACCTGTACAACTCGCTTATCCAAACATACCGAAGAGATTACTTTATTGCATAAACTGCACTAAATCGACCCGTATAACATAAAAAAAAAATGTTGAATAGAAACGAGAAATACAGGTTTGACGCGCTTGCAATTTATCTACGTGCTTGCCGAGCTAAGCGTGCGGACCAGTGAATAAGTTTCCAAGGTTAACGTACTGACTTGAACAGAGCATCATAATTTCCGCTAACGTGTCACTTTGCAATTTCGAGACTGTCACATTTATAAAGCAACCCTGAACATTTAAAACGCCCTCGAAGACGAAGAGACCAGCCACTATCTTTACACGTGCTCAGAAAAAGCCCGTCTTCGGACCCGTTAAGAAATGCGTAGCTTCTGACACGTAACAAATCACAAAATATTGCGATAAGTTAACGAGGTAGTGTTAAAATTATAAAGCATACCACGGTAAAACTATAAAGTTATAAAATTATAGAAGTTTCGCGGGTTGCCCCTCCCCACGCCACCGACTTCCTGAATGCCATTCACAGATCGCAAACACGCAGAGACGTAGGTCGTCACCGCAGTCTCGGGTAATTCTACGATCAGGACTTTGCTATGCTGGCGTTGCACCGTAGAAGTGGCCTATCGCAAGCGGATACCTTAGGCGAGTCAACACCACCGTGGTGTTGGCTTCATCGGTTCGATTTGATCTTGCAACGTGTAACGTGGTGCAACCATATGCACAGTTTGTGCACCGATCGAAGATGACTTGTTTTACCTGCGGGTGGATGGCCAGCTTTTAGCTCGGTGGTCTCTTCAACCGTAGACATGCCGACAACTATCAGAGCTTACGCTAGACAATGTGAACTTGTCGCACAATTTCTTCAACCAAAAGAACTGGACGCTGACTGAGTCAACACTGCGCGACTACTACTGCGCTTCTATGATAGACCTTGGCCCCTTGGCCGCTTGGAGCTGTGGCGCTGTGGCTTGAAGTGCTTGGCTGGCTTGGCCCTCTCTAAGCTGTGGGATCATGGGAAAACACACACTCACAAAAACAACTGGCAGTTTTGTTGGTATTGTCTTCTGTAAACAAGTCACGATTACTTTTCAATTTTGGTTTGTCTATTTATTTGTCTTCATTTGAGATAAAGAGTTTGTCCCGAAACAAAAGCGCAAGGTTTGGTTTGTTTAAAATCGACAAAATCAGCAATTCAAAGCCATATGTTCTGAACAGTTCTAAACTCACTGAGCAGTTAAAGCCTTTAAACTGGATGATGTGTGGCGCCACCTAATCCTCGATCTCAAAGCTTTGTTCTAGATTATGCATAAAAACAAAATGTTTTGAGCGAAGATAGTTTAAAAACGTGCATAAAGCAAGGATGTAATAGGTGTATTAAGGACATTGATTTACGGTCGTTGTTGAACTAAAAGCGTTGCGCTTTGTTTAGTGCCAAGCGCCACCTGTAATATTTGTTTCTCCCGTGGTTTCTTTTTCTTTTTTGCTAATGTAGCCGCAGCCGAGCCGAAGCCAACATTGGACCGCACCTGGCCTGGATCGACTACCCACCCAACCACAGTGCACCCAACCAACCACCACTCACGGTGACCCACCGCAAGTTCAGCCAGCAAGCAACACTTTGCAGAGTTCATAGAATTATTGCGGTGTAGCTAAGTTGCTTTGTTAGTATACTTGATACGTGGGAAAATGCTTTCGACAACAACGCGAACTCTTCTCACGAACGTCTTCAGGTCGTGTCGAGGGACACTTCGTGGGTTCGCGTACGAAGGTGACGGCAAGACCACGGTTTCCGTACTCAACAAGGACCGAGACGATGTTTTGTTAGTGGATTCGTATTCCACGGTTGGATTTCGTCTAAACAACGGGCTCTATGTCATCGGTCCGATGGCTCTTTTCCCGAGGAGTGTCCTGCAGTGGAACGTGGGTTCGCTGGAGAACGTGCCTGAAGAAGCGTTCTCGCTGTTCACCTTGCTTGAGCCAAAGATCGACGTTCTGGTCATAGGAATGGGCGACAGGCACGAGAGAATAGACCCCAACCTAGTCAAGTTCCTCAGGTCCAAAAGAATCGGCCTCGAGGCGCATCCCACCGTGACAGCGTGCACGACTTTCAATTTTCTCAATGTGGAGGACAGGAATGTGGCAGCCGCCCTCATACCTCCGACAAGCGTCACAACCGGCGACGAAATCTACATCCAGAATGACAGAATCCGAAGAAATCTGTTGTTGGGAGAGTAGGCGCTCACACCCACTTCGCTTGTGCAAGTACAATTTCGGCCCTCACGTGCTCGTATTGCAGGTCCCATTGCCGCGTGCCACTGTGAGTGCCAGTCTTTTATATAGCTGCCGCGTAGTCTACGAATTCGAGCAATAAATGCTACACGTGTATAATGCATCTAAATACGCCTTTTATCTGCTATGCATGGGAAAGCTTTAGGGTTCATTAAAACCATAGGTAACCGTGGCAAAGGCTCGCCTAACAACATACCGGAGTAGGCCGAATTTCTGGTAGGACCTAAAATTGTTCGTCAACACCCCATCCTTCAGCCAAAATGAATACCTGTTTCTGTCACAAAGCTCTCAGTCGGATTTTCACCAGCCTTTCTGCAATTGGTTTCCCTCTATGGAACACGCGAGCTGCAACTTATCTCCAGTGTTGGATAAAGTACATCTAAAAAATACTTGAAGTAAATGTCAAAGTAATTAAGAGGTTATGTACAGTCTCCTGCAATATGAGAAACCCCCTGGGAGTGCGTGGTTGAGATGATGGCTGGTGGGGGCACTGCGCACACTCTGAGCAATGTCGTTCCACCGCCAGGGGAGGACTCGCTCAGGACTTAGCTAAAGCGCATTGCGTGCTCGCCACAATGGCTGTCCAAGAGAGACCGGCCTGAGCCAAGGCAATTATTCTGACTCTGTTAAAGTGTGAGATCTGTGCCATCCTTCCAACCAACAAATGCACTCTTCAACCATTTTATCTTTAATAATAGGACTCGGGTATAAGTTTAATATTTGCTTATTTGGCAGTGCCTGTTCTGGCATTTTATACACGAGAAACAACTGATAAAAAACAGTGATGACCAGCTTGTTTTGAGCCTTTGTGACCAAATCTCTCGGCACGACGCCAACAAAGCACGCTCTTCCGCTAAACCGCAACCTAAAATTTTTAAACATGTTCAGGCCCGTTTGAGCCCTGAATGGGTGTCCTCCCCGCGAAGCGTAATGGAATCGCCCAGAGTGCACGCAGCGCACCCGCCTGCCGTCGCCTCTGCCATGCTGTCCCAGCTGGTTTTTCATATTGCAGGAGGCTACTTCAAATAAAGTAGTAAGTACACCAGGTACAATGGACTTTAAGTACAATGTACTTTCAAAGTAAAGTACAAGTACTTTTTAACACAATCTTTCATGATGCCCTTTCATTCCCCTACACAGTACTAATGCAGCTAATTGGGATACATGGTTTTGCGCAAAAAAGACGGACACAAGAGAGAAAACAGACACGAGCTAATTGGGAGTTTTTGTTAACATTGTCATACCTGCCAACTCTTCCGAATTTTTCGTAAAATGTACGAATTGGGACTAATTTTATGATTTTATGAATCTTGCTTCAAATTTTATGTGAAAAAATTATAGTTTTATTTTTAATATTTTTTGTTGTTTGTTTGTTTGTTTATTGTGGGATGTCGGGAAGGGGGGAGCTAGGAGAAATGTGGGCCTCCGTACAGGGGCAATTCGCTACCTTGTGACTACCGCCACAAGAGGGTGATAGGTGCCGTCCATGGCAGCGTCGTGACTTTACTATCCGGTGGTCACAGATCCAAAAGCAATCCAAAGCCCTTGGTCGTGTGTTCAGCGGCGCACGTTGGTTCGGCGTGTCCAGACTTGGTTGGGCGCTTCTGTTTCGACTAGTTTCGAGGCGAGAAGTGCAGCGTCTGTCTTTGTTGCACGTGCAATCGTAGCATTCCCCTGTTCGCGGTGGCTTCGCGGCAAATGGCGAACTCCAGACCTCAAAAGAGGTACTTTTTGGTGTTCCTGAAGTCCTACACGTCGGAATTCCCCCAAAAAGGAAGAAAAGTTTGGATTCTGTAGCACGTGCACGTCTGATGCAAGCGTTTCGCACGGTGGCAAGGCTGACGTTAAGCTGCACATCGCTTAGCGTAAACACCTTCCCCCCCACCTCGCGGCCGCGGGAGTTTTACGAATTTGAAAGTTCAGAGGTTGGCAGGTATGCATTGTATATGATGAAAAAGATGAAGTGAAGAAACAAACGACACAACAAAACCTGTAAAAGTTTTTTTTTTTTTTTTTGTTTCAACAACTGGTATGGTATGCATTGCCCCAGGTGTGATTGGAGGTGCATGAGTTATTTTCGGAAATTTCTGTGAATATTGGATAATGTCAAGTGGCTTGGTCAAATTCCTTTCCATTTTTCGCGTCTATCATCACTTCAAGAAGGGCGTCCACCCGAAACGTGTATACCTTCCTGTCTGCATATTTGTTCAAGTAGCACAACCATATATTTGCAATTTCGTGTTTAAGCTCATTCTGCTCGGCAGCGACCCCATTCTCGGATACTTCCTACTATCTTGCTGCCTCCATGTCCTCGTCCAACGCGAGTGTCAACTCCTCCGTTCCTTGTTTGTTTCCTGAACTCTATCCCCTACTGAACAATCCACCTCCCAGTTTCCATGGAGCTCCACACCCCCAGTTTTATCCCACGCTCCAAGCGCTCACGCTTACCCTCAAAATCGCAAAAGCTTCTAAACATGCTGCATTCCTAAAGTGTTGTTTCAGACATAGAGTCATCCCCAAGGGCTTCCGACTTCGCACCGAATTACACCTCCATGACCAACCCCTAAAAAAACAACTTGACAAAATCCTCGACAAAGCAGCCTTCCAGGTAATAAGGGCACATCTAAAATTCCACCTGAACCACTGCGCTCAGCTCCGTAATGAGCTTGCACGCACGAGGCCCACCCTGCAAGGTTTTGACAGTCCTCCTTTCCGTACAAACGCCCGCATCATCACTGATAAGATCCGGGCACTGAATGCTTTGCTCTATTCGAACCTGCAAACGACCAAATCCAACAAACTTCGCCCTTTCCTCCAACAAGGTTTGCATGAGCTTTTGAATCTTCCAAACACCCTAGTGGTGACCATTCCGGACGACCTACCTCTCACTTTACCCGAGCGCTCCTTGCTTTCCAAAGGTCTTTCTTTCGTTCCTAACCTCCAAAGGTCTCCTGACCCTTTCACTCTTCACGCGGAATCCGAGCATTTCTTGAGACGCCTTCTTCTAGATGCTCACTTCTCTAAAGAACCTTCTGCTTCTAGGTTTACACGCAGCATTTTCAAACTTATCAACCCCAAGCCTAATATCTGGACTCCCCCAGCGTCGAAGCACTCCGAGACAGACAATAGCATCTGCGCTTGCCGTAACATCCTACAACAGTCATCTTCGTCTCTGGTGTCCTTCGCTCGCAACATCAACCATGAACAAGAAATTGCCTTCCGCTCCCTTCAAAAACTTAACGACATAGTGATCATCAAACCGGCCGATAAAGGTGGTGCGATAGTGGTTTGGCGAAAAGACCTATACGGGGAGAAAGCCCATCGCCAACTTTCTGTTTCCAGCTTCTACGAACTCCTTCCGTGTGACCCCACCTACCAGTACCAAGGAATAATTAAATCCACAATTCAACATGCTATTGACTCAATACGTTGCCCTCTCCCGACCGCGGCCTTATTGTGAATCACCCCCAGCTCTCATCTTTCTATCTTCTGCCAAAAATACACAAGGTCGGCACCCCCAGTCACCCCATTGTTTCTGCCATCTCTTGCCCTACTGCCCGTATATCTGCTTTTGTGGACTCCATCCTGCAGCCTATCGTCCAGACTTTGCCTAGCTATATAAAAGACACCATGCATCTCCTCCAACAACCTCATACATTCACATCTAACTCCGACACCGTTCTCTTCACCATGGATGTTACCTTCCTTTACACTGTCATTACCCAGCAGGACGGCCTTCTGGCACTGCAACATTTTCTTGATCAGAGACAAAATCTGGACCCTCCCTCTCACATCATTATCCGCCTTGCAGAGCTGGTGCTAGTCCTTAACGCCTCCCAATTCGACGGCTCTTTCTTCTGTCAGAAATGTGGGGTTGCAATGGGCACAAAGATGGGCCCTTCTTTCGCTAACCTCTTTGTGGGGTATGTGGAAATGGCCCTCTTTGATTCCCTCCCCAATCCGCACCCCAATTTCTACGGCCGCTACATCGACGACATATTTGGCTTTGGGTCTCCCAGCGCCGTCGCCAACTTCACTCAGAGCCACTCGGAAGCGCACCCTTCTCTGAAATTCGCATCAGTTTCCCAATCTGTGACTTTCCTGGACCTCCGCATATTAGTGGACAAGGGCCTCTTTGAAACCTCCGTTCATTATAAACTCACCGATTCTCTCTACTCCGCCTGCCACCTTCGATCTCAAAAAGACTCCATTCCATTCTCACAGTTCCTCCGCCTGCGGTGCATATGCAACAACTTTGTCGACTTTAAAAACAAAGTGGCCGAAGTGATTTCCTTCTTCGTCGACCGGGGCTACCCTCTCCGTTTGCTCGAGACGGCTAAACGACGAGTCTTCGGCATTTCTATAGGCATGGCATTCTTTTCGCAAACCCCCGTCCTAAAGACAAAAAGAACCCCCTTATAGTTACGTACCACCCTAAAGTCCCAAAACTAGCACACAAACTCCTCTCTGCAACATCTCATCTGCACATCTCCCAACAAATTCCCAGGGCTCCTTCCATCGCTTACGCCGTCCACCGAACCTCCACACTCTTGTCAAAAGTAGCCTCAAGGCGAAAACCAACACAGACCCGGTTGGCATCATACCTGGCACCATGCCCTGTAATGTTCCCAAATGCCTGACTTGCAAGCACCTTGGCCCCCCGCAACAGCTTAAACTCAAAATTCCCGACAACCAGACCTGCAAGTCGGCCAATGTCATCTACGCCATTTCCTGCGCGAACTGCCCTGACGTTTTGTACTTCGGAGAGACTGACCGACGGCTGCACGAACGATTCCGTGAACACCGCCGTCTCATCACCCGAAGATTGTCAGGAAACCTTCCTTCAGAACAACAAACACGCGTAGCTGACCATTTCTCAACCGCCGGCCATACTGAGCTAAACATGCGCGCTTGGCGCACTCTTCGACTCAAATTCTCTTCTCTCTCTCTCCCTCCTTCAACATCTCGGCATCTCTTCCTTTCTGCATACCCAAACGTTTTTCATTGTTCCCACTGGCTGCACTTCTGGGTTGTCACCCCCCCCTCCCCCCCCCCTCCCCCCCAAAATAAAAAAAATAATAAAAAAGCTGCACATCTTGCACTTTTGGCTTTTACAGCACTGCAAGAAAACGGGATGCCAGAAGCATTATGTAAGCCAAACGAATGCCTGAATGCGAAACTCTGCAGAGGAACCTGTGTCCCATAAAGACAGCAGGACCATTGCATCCAGATTGGTGTTGTCTTCCAGAGGGCACAATCTTGATAATTTCTCTTGCTTAAAAAAAAAAAAAATGATAGAAGTCAAAGATGTTCCTTTTAGCATTGGCTGTTGAGCGAGACCTACCCGAATCATCTTAGTTGAGGCAACTGCAGCCTTGCACATTTAAAGTGTTTTAACACGCCCATACAATATGCAAATTTTGGAGCTTGCATGCCACCTGCATCGGTGGTATGCTGTATCCACATTCAACCTGTCCTCTGGAGAATTCGGGTACCTCTTGTCACATTTGGTGGTTTTATTTTGGATATACTATGGGTCTGCAGAGCTTTACAGGTGTTGGTGGTGCTACTTGTCAGCATGGAAGTCAAATCCCACAATTTTAGTTGCAGGTTTTTTTTTTTCTGCTTTTCTACATGCATATGAGAGAGAATATACAGCAACAGAGGAAGAATGCCTTTATTTCGTGGTGGCGGTAATCTGAAGGGCTCGGGTCTCATTTCCAATTTCTTGAAAAGTTTGCTCTTAGTATGGTACTGGAATTTTCGGACCGGTAATTACAAACATGAGTGCCAATGCAACTACCAAATTCTTGAAACATTCTGGATGGATGGTAACAGTGGGCTCTGGAATGTCATCTTTGTTGGGTTACACACTCTGCACAGATCGAGTGTAACAGTATAATTGGACGTCACGAAATTTGCATGGGAGTATAAAAAAGATGACTGCCAATGAAAGTAAAGAGGTTGCGTTTTTAGTGAATGTTTTCTCAATGCAATGTAATCACAAGTGAGTTCTGCACAACATTAAACCACAACATTCTTTATATCAACTATTATGTACATAAAGTGGCACTAACATTTGTGCAAGCTTTTGTTATTGAAGCATGAAGCAAGATGACACACCTCCTACATTAACAGTGCAGTTCTAAGTGGTCAGAGGGTAACACTGTCAAAGCAGGACTGTGTAAATGTAGAAGTATGCATGAAGCCATATGCTTCATTTCCCAAAGGGTCAATTTAAGATTAGTGTATTTTAACGGCAAATTATTTGTGCACATAGTTGTTGGAATTGCATCCCAAGAAATGTCAACTTGATAGCCAAATAACAGAGGCAGGCTATTCTATATTGTGTGCACAGTTTCAATAAAGACCAAGGATTTACAGTCCCAATGCTACAAGTGTGCAGGGTTTAGAATGTGAAATCATCCAAGGGTATACAAAGTCATACTCTACAAATATTTCCTGGCAAATTCTGTGACCACATAAAACAGACCCAGGATTATATTTCTTTTGTGAAGGAAAATGGTTATGCAACATGTTTAAAAATTTTACAAAACATACATGTGTGAAATAAGTTAAATGATTGAACAGTTAAGTACAATGCATATTATATCACAGGGTAAAATAATGCAGAAGTTGTGTCACATGCTAGTTTTGAGCAAATGAACATGACTCATCACTACCTCAATAATGGGTTTTGTAATGCCACTGGAGGACATTGGTTCCAACACTGGTGTAGAACAGAAGTAGAAATGATCAGCTCACTTGGAAAGAGAACAAATAGAAATGAGATGTTAACTCCATACAGTACCACCAAAATTAATGGAGCATAATATTTTTAGGTGCAGAAACAGAGGGTTGTGATAGATGTTGAAACTGCAAATGGCACACACATTGATAAAGCACAATGAGAGAGTAGTACTTGAATAAATTACACAATCACAACAATAATTACATGTGACAGTAGCAGTATGCATCATCAGATGTGCCTCACAACTGAAACTGTTTGAATTGTTTAAAAAAGAAAGATTTCCAAGTGTGAATCAGCAGGATTATTACAAGCAGCATGCAACTAATGTACTTAGTACCAATAACTAATAATTCCACAAGTTAACCACAACATGCAGAATAAAACTTTCTTAGTAGACAACAAATACAGCTCCATGTTATAATACTGAATCATCACAACAGCAAATGTCCAGGTAGACACGACACCAAGCACTTGAAGTGTGAAATCTATCTAGAAAGTACATATGTGCACGAAAGATTTATTTGTCATTCTTTACCATAAAACTAACAATAGTGCCATAATGCTAAGCCAACAGTCAATATATTGCTGAATTTAATAAACCATACTTAATCCGTGGCTTTAAGGAAACATTCCAGTTCTTTTGTTGTCGTTATCCCCCCAAAATGGCACGATTTTAGTGAATAGTAAAATGTGGAGCATGCGCCCATGTCGTAATAATCACCCACCCCTACTTTTAAGACCTTTGAATTATAAGTGGACATATCAAGTGCCCACAGCAGCAGACGCCCGAGTCCACCTGACCGAGCGAACCGAGACGCTCCTCCTCGTCAGCTGCTTCTCCGAACACGCCAGTGTAAAGCGGTGAAGCTTTATGCAATGCGTGTGTGCCAGTGCCGAGCGGGGAAGCTTGACACGAGAGCGCCGGTGCGAAGCAGGCTTGAGTAGAGCGTTGTGACTGCTTTAAAAATTAGGGGTTCCTCCAGGCCCCTCCTAAATTGTTCCTATACCATCCCGTTGGATCAAGCAAGGGCCTACTCTACCATATGGTCCTTCTACTTTTCTGCTCTTGGACCTAACAAGCTCCCGTGCCCCTTTTTGTTTTGTAATTATCTGCAACATTTTGGTGGGTGGTTGCTCGGTATTTTACAGATGTGCAATCTTTCACTGGTGACTGAAATCAACAAGTTAGCCTCCATTTCCTATGAAATATTTTATTACTCGCAACTTGAAACAGGCTAGTATTGAGGGAGATTTGATCTAGTAGATTGAGTAATGCTTTACTTTATTTTTGAACTGAACATTACGTAAAAGCAGTGAAAGCTATCTGAACAACTCGGTTGAATTTAATCGATTTGGAAGCGAGTTGAGTTGTGTGCGGTCACAATGCTTGCCATTGTGGATATTTGCCTTTATCAGATTAATTCTTTGATCATTGTAAAGTAAAGCATACTTCACTGAGAAAATGCTCTGTGGATGTTTTGATTTTTTGCCCACAAATAATTAAAAATTATTTTTAAAATTGTGTTTGTATTAGCAAAACAATATTGGGGTTTCGTAATTTATCCACAACTCTCCCTAATTCCTTCATAAAGGTCTTATTTACAAAAAAGCAATTCTGGGTTTACATTCTTCCAAAGATTGCCGAATCCAAATTGAGGAAATTTAGTAGTTCATATTTTTTCCCGTAACTTTCTTGATAGTGGCTTGTTTAACAATTATTCATGTGAAACACAAACACAACAACCCAATAAAATGTTCAACAGGATCAGCTACACAAGATATATGATTTGCATAGAAAAAAATTACTTCTGCATTGGACAAATTCTAGAGATATTATATTTTTGTTTTAAGTAAGTCCATGAGACTTTCATACTGTTAGAGAGTATTCTAATCACATTCAATTTGATCTGTATTGTTATACACTGGATGCTTTATTTAATGTGAAAATGCTACTTTCTGTTCTCTATTTCTAACACTTTCCTTGGGCTTATTTGTTATCTTTTGGTACTGCTCCTATTTTCAAGAAACACTATTTTGTGAAGATAGTGCATTGACTTGCATTTTAAATATCCAGTTACATGCTAATAAAACCACTGAGAATATATCAGGCATTGTAGAATCGAGGGAAGATTGAGTATGGTTAATTTTAGGTTGCAACGTGTATAAAGTAATAAAGAATGGCACTTTTGAAAGGCTAAATAGATAGATGACATAATTCAACAGATTTAAAATATTTCTCAGACCTGGAATAAGGTGTGCACCACTTGTGCACAATAGCTTCTTTTTTATATGAAGCAAGTGTCCTAAATTAATTAACAGTCACCTATTGTATAGTACAGCAATGTTTCATGGACAAAAGAGGAAAACTGAACTGTAACCAGCATTCAGTTTCATTTTGTTTGCTACTATACTATTTACTGTATCTGGGAATAACATATCCAATCTCAAACCGAATTCAGCTGCCTTGGCATGCTGCCAGCATTTCTGAAAGTCGTGAATTAAAAAAAATCTGGAGAAAAGAGGCGTTTAGCTCTAAATGTACGTTAGTTCATGCATTACAGCTACCAAAAGTATAGTGGCAAGCCCACAACAAACAAACAAACAAACAAACAAATAAAATAAACACAACATGACATTTAGAAACATGCTAAATTGAGTGAGTTAAGAGAACTAACTAAAAGGATGGACAAACAGAAATCTCAATTGTGTTCAGACTTCAGTTTGTCTGTCCTTTTAGAATCACCTGTATCAGCTTGCCTGACTTATTACTTTAAATGAGTCAGTTAATCAAAATCCCCAAAACACATCTAAAGTTTTGCACAGGGATTGCAAAATCTCAACCTGAATCACCATGAATTCAGAGTTGTCACTTTTTTTACTTGTACTGTTGGTCAACAGGTAATTTATTATTATTTTTTAATGTAGGCAGCTGATCACAAGAGAAACATACTCGATGCACATTGTTCTGAATGTGCATTCACAGTTCTAGGAAACTGCACATCAATAGTAAAGAGCAATATAAATGTATGTTAGAAGTTGAGTGGAATGGGACCAGGTGAGATTATTGTGTACTTATGCAGCTACTGATCAGATCTGTGCCTAAAATGGGAAAGAAAAATTTATGAGTGAATGAAGATGCAAGGAAAACAGATGACTTTCAAACAAAAAATACCATAATCTCACATGTTTTTACAATGCTACTATATACAATTTTAGTCGAACTGATGCAACTTTGAACAAACGTCACAGATAAAAAAGACGAGTACTTCAAAATAAAACAATAGAACAATGAAACAAATGATGAAGCTCAAACTGAATGCACACACTCAGAGTAAGGTACTAGAAACATGTAATGATATGAAGGATGATACAACGAAAACAAACTGCACACACAGCACTGCGAATACACATCTTTTTGACATACATAAATATGAACAGGCTCGGAACATGAGTCATCAGCTATGCAGCTCCGAGTCAATTGGACCAGAATGCTGATGCTGTGGGAACTGTGGTTCCTTAACACTTGCGAATGGGGTTTGTGTGGGCCACCGCTGCGGCCATATGGGCACTAGCGAAAGGAGAGGGCTGTACTCTGATGGGGTGGCCACCCTGTCCTCCTCTGGGTGGATTCCCTCGGACCCCTAAACAAAGAAGAGCGGACCCGTCTACTCCTGATTGGCTACTGAGCCCCGGTAAACCCAACAAAACCAGCGGGAGCCAAGGGATGGGAGATTCTCCTGGGAACTGACGGCGCATGCGAAGGTTACTACGAGCACGGCCAGCATCCCGGTGAGTGTTTTCCCCGTTGGACTCCTTTGTGGCCGACCGTTCGAACCGAGGACTATTCCGCTTCGACGGCGGCCGCCAGCGTACATAGTTGTTATTAGAGCAATAAACACGCAGTTAACATTACCAACGTGTGACTGGCGTTTGACTTGCACTCACAGAGCATAGCACGCTAGCTCTGTGAGCTCGCTGCGGAGTGGGATTTTCGAGGCCTAGGCCGCACAAGGAGAAACCCACAATGCCAATGTCTGAGCACCATCAGACTTGATTTTTTCACAGTTGACCTGGACACACCTTCGTTGAAATGATAGGAACCATACAACCGACTACGCTTGAACCTGCACGGCTTGAACATGCTAAATCCTTAGGCCTCAAGCTGAGATATGCCATGCCGTGCCAGTACAGTAAACAAGGCAGGCTTTTGAAATTTGCTATGCAGAATATGGGGCTTCCCTGGCATATCTGAAGGGGAAATATGTCTAATGATGGTCAGAAATAAAAGGAACTTGCCTATGTACTTGCACTACCTGTTTGGTTGACTGCTTTTTAGAAATGTAGGGCTCAAAGGGTATCATATCTTCAATATAAGCATCTTAGAGCTGGAATGGCACTTTCACCAACTGAATTTTAATAAATATTATACCAAATGTTTTTTCGTGGCTTTGGCCTTGGTGTTTACAAAATTGTGTTGTCTATATGTTCGACAGACTTCAGGATTTTGTAAAATATTGTGACCAATCTTATCTCCCAAGAACCCTATTGCACTGCCATAGTTCTAAATGCTAAACATACCCACTGTTTTCAAAGGACGTTACATTTTTTTAATCCTGTTATAGAAGGACCTTGTTAAAAATTGAGAAATGTGACTGTGTTTTTTTAAATAATTTCTTCCATGCCAAGTCAAGAATGACACATTTCATGAAGTGGTGTGATCTTGAGCACAAACTGTTCCTATACACATGTTCGAAAACAAATCAACCGTCAACAGGCTGCAATACTTATCCTCAGGCAACATGGGTGTTGGCAGAAAGGGTCAAAAATGGACCTTATCCCTCCCTTTAAATTGATGTGTACCTATATCTTTTTCTTTTTTTTTCATCACAACAATGTGTACCCAGTCTGAGACATGTTAGCAAATTATGGGAACTAAGACACCAAAAACTGGGATATCACTCATAAAAACGAAATGATGTTGGAATTTTCTTGTGCGGTATACTATACTCAGTCGACCCCTAAGCTGCCATTGCAGTAAGGGCTTCATTCTGGACGAATAAACTGGTGGCCTTGCAGCACATATCCACATTCTCCACCAGTACGCATACAGGGAAAGTGCACATACGTGGTGCAAAGACAATGCCCAACTGACCAAGCAAGGCTGTATCTCCTGGTCTACTGCTACTCGGGGGCAGACGGAGTATATCTCCGAATGACGACCGGTTTTTGGACTCGAGTTTCCGATTCCGTTTCTTGGTACTACTACTCTCCAAAATAAAACATTTTGTTTATGTGTGGCTGAGTTACCAGAGCTGCCATTTCCTCTGACCAAACAGTACCCAGGACAAATATCCTCCTAAAAAATGTGGAAGCCTGCCCCTTTTTCAATGACCCCAATGATTAACCATGGGTGGTTGCAACTGTTTGGAGCGCCAGGTCGACAAATGACCCCCAAGCTCGTGCACAAGCTCGGGCTCAGAAACGTGCTCGGAGGTAGGCTTGGCCGTGAGCTTGGCTTTGGGGGGCGGTGCCCATGGGGGCCGGCGGAAGCGGCTCTTTCGGGAGGGACCTCCCTGCCGCACAGATCAGGAGGTGGGCAGGGGGCACTCGCTGGGAAGCACGCAGCGGTCCCGGTGCCAAACCCGGCCCGGATTGCACTGGCAGCCTGGTTGGCACTTGCGTCGGCACGGCCGTGCCTGCTGGTAGTTCTTGCATGTGCGCCGGCACGGGGGTCCACAGGTGGTGTAGTAGGAGCTCCGTGGGCAATGCATGCCTATCGGAGAGGGAGAAAGCACAGTTGGTTGGTCTGGACATTGCCATCCAAACCAATGCCCAAAGGGAGGTGTTCCAAAACCTGACTTTTCCTTACAGGGGCGTCGGAAGTGGTTGGGAGATGGGAGGGGGTCCCCCCAAAATGTTTACTAGCAATGTCTGAAATGGCTGGGTAGGCGACCGCACCCCCTCCTGCACTCCCTGTTCCAATGCCACTGCGCTATTAGCATCAGGGAAACACAGTGGCTCCAATTTTAAGCAAGCTAGGGAGCAAGACCATGACTGGCTAAATTAGCCAAGAAGGGAATCCGAAGAATGATGTCTGGAATGGTAGCTGACATTTTTACATGAAATCTAGCCTCATCAAAATGTCAATTGCTGTCCTAGTATTTTCCAAGGATATCACAAACAATTCTAGCCTATGAAATTTGGCAAATTAATTTTACCTTGGCAGTTAGTTGAGTTCTTCCAGTTTATTTGAATTCCTGCTCTGCTACACTCTCTTGCATATGCGTTCAGAGAGTCGCAGTAACACTTGTCCGATGGCAGGCATTCACACATGTCCAACATGCAGGATCTAGCGTACCAAAAAAAACAAAAAACAAAAAAACATCATGTAATTACAGAACACTAGAGACAATCCTTTCATGCCTCCACTTTTGAGCTAATTCTTTGAGCAAACAATTCAGTCTTAAGGAATTATTGCGAAGCAGGTAAGATTATGAGCAGAGCCCCAGTAAACAACTGAGGAGTGGGCAGTTACACTCGGCTCTGGATGGACGGCAAGTGCCCAGCCATGATCAAATTTATTTTTCATATGCCCCCGACCTTTTGACTATTCCTTCCTCAATAGATATATAGACAGATAAGATAATGTGATATAATAAAGATGAAAGTCAACAATTACCATCTGTGCACTTGGCATACATATTTGACTTTCGGCTATATATTATGTAAAAAAGCAATACTGACCTTTATAAATCCTACAGTATATAATACAACACTTAGAGAGGATAGCTATATGAACAGCCCTACAAAAGGTATTGAGCAAAAATAAGTTTTATAGATGAGCAAGTTCAATATTAGTAATATTTCCAAAGTAAAATAGTTTAAAGTCCTTCATGCACTAAATCTAAATATAATTAAAATGAGTTATACAACATTCAGTCTTTACATTAAAAAAAAAAAAACAATTAGGAGTAACCAGTCACTAATTACCTGAAGTATGGAGTTGCTTCAACAGCCTTATGACAAAGCTTGAAAGAACCCTGCTTGATATTATTGCAGTTCTGCAGGTTTTGTAAACGCAAACTCCAGTCCTTGAGCCTGCAGTCCAGAGGATGGCTGGGTCTTTTAGGAGGTCTTAAGCATTTTTTTCGACGTCCAACCTGCCAAGTAGAGTAAAGGCTTTCAGTAAAATGCCACAGGATACAGAATGTCAACGAAATAAGAAAAAATTAACAATATAATGCTGGCCCCTAAAAAAAAACAAAAAAACTTAGCTTTTTTTTTTTAATAGAAACGAATGGAACGAACATCAGATTTTATTTACACATCTGACCCCGATATTTTGATTAAGACAATCAGTACTACACAACTTCTGTTGATGTTGGTACTTGACATTATTTGCTATATCTAATAGATGTTGATTTTTCGTTTTGTTACTCAGTCATTTTATTGACTTTTTGGTGTGCTCTTTAATGTGCATTTTGATGGGTATCCATGTACATCAATTAATTTAAAAACTCTTTTTGCTCTCACTCCTTACGTTATGTTCCAGCAGTACTGAAGTAATTTCAACGAATACACATAAATAAGTACATAACAAATGTAATGCGAACCAGCCATGAATTTCCAAATGCGTTCGGGTCCGTGAGACGAGTGCCATTCCTCGACATGAAGTCATCATCTTGTTTGTCATTGTAGTTGCCACAAAGGCCACACAACTTTCCCTTGTATGTAGGAGACACGGACACTTCCACATAGTTATCTCCATCCCAGACAACTTTGACTCCTGTCAAAGACAATGTAAAGAAAGATTTGTCATGAAACCATAAAAAATTATATACATAGTTTTTATATTTTTTCAGAAATTCGAATATATTAAAATGACAAGACTTAATAATGAGCAAGCCCAAGGAAAAAAAAAAAAAAAAAGAACGGAGAGAATGAAGAAACAAAACAAATCATTATGTTATGTTTAACTTTCAAATTCAGTAATTTTTTTAGCTTTTGGGAACAAATTTCGGAAAAATTGATTCTACTCTGAAGACCGCTTGGAATGAGCGATAAATGAATATATGGCAGCTACAGAAATCTCTTTTGTGACACTCACATAACCACTGATCTCTATGACAATTGATGGATCGCGCTTCCCCGCTCGGTCCTGCTGCGCGAGTGAAGCCACCGGACGGCCATCTTGCTCATAGGCGAATTGCGGTTTTGCTAGCGTTGCAGAGGTTGGCGGCAGCGTGCTGAAGACACGTTTTCTACTCGTTCGTCGTCATTCGCTGAAGAAGTTTTTTTAAGACCCTGTGTAAGCGTTGAGACTTAATAGTATTAATAATAATAATAATAATAATAGTAATAATGTTTATTTCCCATTCAACACAGGAATGGAGGAAGGAAAAAGCTGTTTAACAGCTTGTTGGAGCCCCCTGCTCCCTTACAGTTTCATATCACAAAGTGAAATACAAAACAACAGCAAAGTATCAACACTGTATAGAAATAAACTAGATTACAACCTATCGCACAAACCAATATATTCAATTCAAATAAGAAAATAAATCTTGCATTGTGACAGACATTACACCAAAGTTTTTGTTTAAGTGGAAATTTAGCAAAGTAGGTAGCATATACTTTAGAGACTGCATGGAATAGTTGTTATGGCAAAGAGGCACAGCCCAACGTGCCGCCGAACGAGTTGGATAAGAGGTAACATGTTCCCTTAGTTTGGAAAAGTTCGGCCAGAATATCCACGTTTCTTTTTTTTTTCCTGCCTTAAAGCGGACCACAAGTTTATACGCGTACACATCGAAAACACGCAATAAATAATATTTTTTCAAACAAACACTGGGTGCTTGAAATATAAGAAACATTCGCAATGAGGCGGACACATTTCTTTTGTAATGGATGTATTTTTTTGTAGATTTGAACTAGTGGTTGTACCCCATACCAGGTGGCATTAGTTTAAGTGGGATATAAATAGAGTTTGATATATAAGTAGTTTAAAGTTGTTTGGTAAAATAAAACGGTTTCGTGAGACTAATCCAATGACCCTGGACAATCTAGGACGCATATAGCTTACATGATCGTCCCAAGACAAATACTGGTTAAAAATAACGCCAAGACTCTTGAAATTCTCTACTATCTCTAACATTTGAATTTATTACGAGACTTTTCTTTATAATTTTTGGTTCAGAAGAGAATTGCTTTGGTTTTACCACTATTAATTTTAAGTCCGTCGTCTGATGTCCAATTTCGCAGCCCTGTTAAAGTATCATTTGCGCAGTTGATAAGTTCATCACTAGTCTTAGCCGAAAATAAAAGGGTTGTTTCATCTGCCTATATAACAAATTTAGCAAGAGGACCTATGTTAACAGTATCGTTAATATAAATGTTAAATAGCAAAGGTCCCAAAATAATCCCCTGTGGTACACCGGAGAAAACAGACCTTGTTTCAGATGAAAAGCTATTCAAATAGACAAACTGCTTACGATTACTCAAATATGACTGAAGCAACTTAAGCGCTTGACCCCGAATTCCATAAAGATTTTTTAGCAATAAGTTATAGTTTAGATAATCAAATGCTCTCGTAAAATCAATAAATACGGCTAAAGCCACGTGGTTTACTCAAAAATCTCTCAAAGAAATTATTTTTGTTCCAGCCATGCAAGATCTGTCGAATGATGCTTCATAAACCCAAATCGATATCATTAACAATTACACGATACTTATTCAAAAAAATTAGACAGACGAATACGTATAAGTTTTTCGAAGCCCTTATGAAAAACCGGCAAGACATAGATAGGTCTATAATTATTTATGTCGTTCTTCTCCCCCTTTTTATAACGTAAAGACACTAACTTTTTGCATAAGTTGCGGAAGCACCCCCAGTTGAAAAACATAGATTAAAAATGTAAGGAAGGGAGTGATCAGTGGTAAAACATATTTTACCGGCCGAATCTGCATACCATAGGCATCCCAACTATGGCTATTTTTTTTAATTTCATAAAGAGAGTAGACACCTCTTTATCAGCAACTGGCATTAAAAAAATGGAATCCCTAATTCTAAAAGTTATATTATCATATGCGGCATCTCTACAGTTAATTTGAGGCAAATCAACAAAAGTGTCATTAAGTGCGTTTGCCAACGACACGCCAGTTAATTAATCCCCTGCAGAAATGATGCGTTCTACACGATGGGAACATTTGCCCTCTATAACTGAATTTAAGTTCGTCCACATAAGGTCAGAACGACCTACAGTGTTTCCAAAGGATTCCTGATGATAACGCTCCCTTGCTTTTGTCAGGGCACTTGTCAGTTGATTACGGTACACGTGGAACTTTTTCGGAAACGCAGTGCCGCAGGAAAAAGGCACAACTCGTCGAAAGCAAGTTTTGCCGGTCTCGCAGCATCACCAAAGCTTCCTTGGCACGCAGAAGTGCTGCGTCTCTGTGCCTTCGCACGCTTGGATACCGATCAAGCTTTGGCGCCGTGTGAATGTGTTTTGCGAGCGCAATGTGCGTGAAGCCGTATGTGCCTCTGGAGCAGCGTTTTACTTTATTCGGGCGACTGTATTTGTAACTTGCTGCACTCGCAGTCCAGAAACGAGCTTGATCCAGCGTCCAGTGGACACGGAAGAGGGGGGGGAAGGAAGGTACGTCTTTTTTTCGTCGTTAGACGGTTTTCAGAACACCGCGCACAACAGCTCCTCATCACTGATCAGTGCTGGCTGATTATCAACCTACTTTATTGTACTTGACGTTTGCGCGCGGCTCGCCTATTTGTGTTTAGTCAACATATTGCACACGACCGTATGGGCAGCGCTTCAAAAAGTTTAATTCTCGCTCTCTTGTAGTTTTGCCTTCGAAAACCCTCCTTGCTCCACAAAGTAACTCTATTTGTGCTGCCATGTGATCCATTAGAGTAGATTTGAAAGATATCCATGGTTAGTAATGCCTAAGAGCAACCGTACAGATTGCTTTCCCCCCTTTAGTGATAACAAATCGCCGGAACAGCTGGACGATCCAGAACTCCGCGGCCGATACATGATGCAAACACATCTACGCGCTACACAACTGCAAAACTTTGCCGCGGCACCAATTCTTGATCGCTATCCAAGCGTGTGAAGGCACAGAGACGGAGCATTTCGGCGTGCCAAGGAAGCATTGATCATGCCGGCGAGACCGGCGAGGCTTGTTTTGTACGAGTTCTGCCTTATTTCCTGCGGCACTGCGCTTTCATAAAATTTTCCACGTGTTCTAAACGGAAAGTCTCAACGCTTACACAGGAAAGTTAAAAAAATTCTTCAGTGAATGACGACGAATGAGTAGAAAACGTGTCTTCAGCAAGCTGCCGCCAGCCTTTGCAACGCTAGCAAAACCGCAATTCGTCTACGCAAGACGGCCGTCTGGTCGCTTCGCTCGCGGGACCGGGAAACGCGATCTAGCAATTGTCATAGAGATCAGTGCACACAACAAAGATTTGTGTTCACCAATGTTGCAAAATATCAGACTTTGCGTTAACAGCGGATTACTGCACTAGCTAATATAGCTCCCTCACTTCCTCAAATAAACAAAGCAAAAGTCGCATGGTCACACCGCCACGCGGTAGACTTGTTTTGGTGTCCCACTTCGTAATTTTCGCGCTCAACTAATAGAATGAAGTGATCTCAATAATAAACTCTCTCGTTGGTCCCGCACTGCTCGTTAGAAATATGTTCAATTTTACTAGGCTTATGAACATTTTTAATTGCCATATATCGATCCAAATATTGTTATATTCAATTTCCTCTTCGATTTAAATATCAGATTCTTTCTAAATTCGTTTTCACCCCAAGAATTGTCGTAAAAAGGGTTCGGCTGCACGCACGGCGTCGCAAAGTTTCCTCTTTATGTGGCGAATGAACAGTACTTCCATGTGCAGTTAAGATCAGTTATTTAATATTTTATTCAAATTCACACTTTTCAAATAATCAAAAACACCAACAGAATAGTTTTTTTTTTGCATTAAATGTTTGAAAGGACTACTTCGTGCAACGCAAGAACTACGCTCACTATTTCTTTTAATCGGTGACAACGGGCGCTTGTAGCGTATGCTCCGTTGAGTGCGCTTTCCCCGTGGCTTTGATGCACTGTGGTAAAGTGCAGATGCCACTTTCCCGCAGCGCGCCCTCGCGAAGGGAAAGGCGCATCCTCCAGGCAAGTTTCGTGCGGGAACATCTTGAGTGTTAAAGCTTTGTTTTTGTCAATGTTACAAGGTTTGACTTTCTTCTAAAACATAAACAAAACACATTACGCTGCTTATTAACGTGTATGAGAGATTACGTTGTTTTGATGCGCCACGAACGTTGGGAGTAAATTTTCATTTGCCAAGTCTGGATATACACAATTAGGATACATAGAATGACTATGATATAATTTCCGATTCAAATTCAGATGATTATTTGTTTCGTTTATGCCAAGTGCATAATTTCATTTATTGTACGTTGCGTAGTGTTATGAGAGTTCAATCATATTTCTGAGGGACATACAACGTTCTTGATTGGGAATAACCTTTGTAATTCTGTTCCTATTTTTTGTTTCGTAAAACATAAAAAAAGATTTTTTATTGCAACATTGTTTGTATGCAGAATACAATTGGAGAATACTGCTAAGAAAGAAAAAGATTTTAAACCTTGGTAATAAGAAATTACATACTTTCCTCATAGGGGTTTTTACATTTTGCAAACATTATTCGATTCAATAATCAACATTATTCAGTTCAATTAAAAATTATATAGTTAAATAAGAATTATTTCACCAATTAAACATAATTTAGTTCAATAAAGATTATTAAAATGGGGTGACTATTTATTTTTTATGTGATTCGATATAAAGCTTAAATTTGCATATGCCCAACTTATACCTTTTGATACCGCTTCAGTGTGAAAAACATCAACAAACTCTTTCGTCTGATGTCTGATTAATTAGTATATTTTGTTTATTAAAATTCATACAGCAGCTATCGTGATATGGTAGTGGCTTGTGGTAGCAATTTTCAGAAACATATAATTATGCCCTCCTCTCTCTCCCTCTCTCTCTACCTCGAGAGAGAAATTGAAGTTGTGAATAGAGATTAAAAAAAAAAAGGGTTTTGAAGAAGCAGCCTACTGAAACTGGTCAGAACTCCCATGTTATTTGTGCGACATTTATATTTGTTTTATCTTTTTGAAGTTTTCCCAATACTCACAGTCGGAGTTGAACGAAACACTTTTTTTGTATACAAATCAAGTCACCCATGAAGAATACACTTTTCATGGTTCAACATCCCTACTACAATATTTATTATGTATTTGAATAAGAAACCATGGCAATTTCGCTAGACTTTATAGAGGTTTGCACTTTTATAGGAAAAGTAAGCAGAGCAGTCAAATTTTAATGCTTATTCTTACCTTTGTTTATTCTGACCACAATGTTGTGATCTTCCTGAAGAATATTGAGGACTCTCAACTTGACAAAGGGCAGTTTAATGCGTTCCTTCTTAATTCGTACTCGAAGAAACTGTCCTAGCTTAACCTTCATGTCTTTGACCTGGTTGGAAAAAAAATCACCAATGAGTTACAATATTTCTTTCACACGGAACACTGCGACTTAAAAAGAAAATGCTTCAGTTACATTAAAACATGAAACACAAGTCTCCAGAAAGAAAAAAAAAATTGGTCGGTGCATAGGTTTACTATGCTGCACACATTTGCGTAGAACTACGCCCTCAGCTGAAGAAACGTCCAGGAGGGGCTGCTACAGCATGACGATGTCGGGCGCACAAGAAGCCAATGCCCGTTGTTCGGAGTCTGGTAGAGGCAAATGTGCAGCCGCCCGCTCCGCCATCTCCGAGGCGCATATACGGAACGGCGTGCGATTGTTTTTAACGCTTTGCCGAGTCGCGCGAGAGAGTCGCGTGAACTGCCCGTGCCACAGAGCACGCGAGCTTGGCCGCTCGGCCGCTGTCACCGGCACCGGTGCTTTTCTTTTTTCTTTATGGTCTTAATCCTATAGTAACGCGAATTTATATCATCATGTATAAGAATAATATTCATTATGTGTTTTAGGTTTCAGACCCGTGTGTATGAGACTACCGACCGCTATCTGTTGCAGTGATCTCACTTACTAATGTTTGTAGCATTAAGTTATGTTTCCCTAAATGCAGCTATCTTGTGTATAGGAATGTGATCTCCAGAATATTTATATGCTTGTGTTATTTATTTTTGCTTTCTTTTTCTCTTTTTGGGTTTGCTATATTACTGCACTCCTGAGCAATGCACAAGGGTAGTGAGGTCTGGTCAGGTAAAGCTTTGTTTACCTTTTGCCTCCCCACCAACTAGCGATTATTATGAGCTGCCCGAACGGTGTCTCGCCGTTTCAATCAGAGAGGAGCGTGTCGCGTTGAAGCGAGCAAACGATCAAGCCGGCAGATAAAAAAGGACGTGCGTGCGCACTGCGCAATTCTCGACAGCAAGCAGCGCGGCCCTCCGGTGTTATCTGCGTTGCGTCACTTTCGTGACCAAGGTTTCGTGACATCGACCTCCCAACTTTGCAACCCCATCGAAGCGCGGAAAAAGACGTCAAAAGAAAAATAGCTATGAATCTATTTCGCAGAATTGACCATCGTAGTTAAGGTTGCAATCGATTAGCAACTACTCACCCGAATAACGACAGATTTCGTCCAGGAAAAGGATTTTGAGTACCGAACATCATTCCATACTTCAATGGAGAAGGTCCCACCACTGCAATCAGATGCTAAGACGTAGCGACAAGGGCCTTGGTAGTTGAAGATCTTTCCGTCAAATGTTTTGTAGTGAGGGTCTCCAAATACCGTGCAAATGCCATCCTCTGTAAAAACAAATTTTACCAATTTTAGTTAAATTTTGTAATGCCAAAAATCTTGTTTTCACATTCACCAAAAATTGCGTGCCTTACCGCAATTCTTCTTTTTGAAGGTAGTAAGTTTTGTAGGCTGGACCAAATTGAACGAGCTGTGCAAATCCATCGGGCATCGAGATATCCACGGATAAGTTTCGCGTTTTCGTCGCTCGATTCCGAAACTAGACGCAGAAAGAGGGTCGGAAGGGCCACCCACGATAATGCGTAGAAGAGTTACGTAGTTGTTTTGGGCACTGTCGAGATAACGACGACGTGCGCGAAATGATTGCGTCAGTCTTCTATGTATCAATGTCATTCTGGACGCAACGTCCGTTGCAATTCTGAGTTTCGGAATAGGAAAACTAAAACGCGAAAACTGATCGCTGAATATCCGTAAACGCGTTGCCTTTCGCAAACTGTTTCAATTAGTATAGCCTCTAATGACGACCGTCTTTAAAAATATAATTGCAACATGACGCATAAAACCATTAATTAAAAAGTTAATTTGTGACTGTTGTCCCCCTTTTGAACATGTGCCGAGCCCCATAAAACACGACGAAGACGGCATCCGTATAACTGTCAGCCCCTTTGATAATGTTTGTTCGAATTAAAAACGAACACCTTGTATATACCATCTGATACGCAGTCACTGGTAAGTAGTTTTGCGATTCTTATTTATCCGAGCGATTTCCGGAATTATGGCTCCAAAAAAGAAACTAATGTCCCTCCCTAGCCTTGGGTTAATTTTGTGACTTCTTTCTAGCACTTTCTCAATGCGCGTCGCGACAAAAAATAAAACGCCTTTCATAAAAAAAAAAAAAAAAACGAACCAGAGGGAGGGGCGATTTTTTTCTGGAATTCAAAACCACCAATCCCATACATAAGCAAAACAGCCTATTTGAAACCGCATAAAACACTGCGTAGAACTTAGAGTAGGTGACAAGTAAGTAGCACTAGAATAGCTTGAAGTACTTAATTGTACGACGAATAAACCGACTTAAAGCGCATGCCTGGTTTGCATTTTTATCTTCGTGCGAATACAGTCCATTCTAGCTTTTTAAAGACTGTGCTGAAAAAAAATAACACACACACACACATAACAAGCACCAAACTTGGTGCGTAATCTTGAAAAATAAAACCACAAAAACAAAAATAAGAAAACAAAAACTGCAATTGAACGGAACCAAAAATTTCAGAAAGCTGAGAATGCCTAGGCGAAATTAAAGCCCTAAAAAACGTCCTCCACACTTCCCTCCGAATAAACTCCGAAAACTCGGAACCCAATTAGTGAGTAACGTGAAGAAATAAATTATAATTTTTTTTTGTTTTTAAATGAACCTCACGGCTTTCTTTGGTAGTTTCTAAAGGGTGCAACTAGTGTCTGAGGGTGAATCTTGTTCCACGTTCCAATATACTAGCGTTCGTGTCTCAATTTTTATTTTACGTGCTCGGCTATGCCTGCTCAAAACCTTTGACCATGTGCATACACGTCTAGATTTTGTTTGAATCGCCAGAGTGGCATCAGTCATAAAAAATAAGTTCCTCTGCTTTTTTTTGCGTAAAACACAAACATTGTGATCAAAGTTAGTGTTTGCCTCGATTGGCGCATGCTGTAGTGAAATTTTGGCATAGATATTTGTTCAAATACCAAAGTAAATGATTAATTCGTCAAATATGTGAATATAATTCACAAACATCAAATAAACTGAAATTCCAAACAATCATCTTTAAAACCAAGTAATCAAGGTTCATACCGAATGAATTAAAATATCTTAAAAGTGCGAAACGATACATACGAAGGAAGGCAAACATAGAACACAGACAGTCTTTACTTAGTTTTCTTCTTCAGTGTCTAGTTCGTGCTGCGTACATCATTTAATTCACTGTGAACAAACTAGCACAAACCGAAGTTTCAAGTAAGATGAACACATGCGTGGGAACAAAAAGCTTTATCTAAAAAGTTCATATTTATTGGTGTCCCATAAAGATCAAATCTTCAGTCTAGTTTTTTTTTTTAAGTTTTGAAACACTCAATTTTTACTGACAATAGGAGAAAACATCTTAACATTTGTTTGATGCCAGTGTCATTTCAATTTTAGAGAATTTTATATGATTACAATAATTCTTAAATTGCTTACCTTCAACGCATGTTGGACAACATTTGCCTGGTGGTGTCACTAATTTCTTTTTCGGAGGACAGACAGGCGCTGTGATGCATTCCTCCACACCACAGCGAACCACACCATGATGGCAGGAACACTTGGTGCATTTCTTTAGCTTCCACGTGTCTCCGTTCTGAAATCCAAAGGTCCGTTCACTTTCATTTAGAACACTTAATTGAACTGACAAAATTATCCGTTGGATCGTTTTCATTTATACGCCTGAGGCGCTAAAGTCCTCATAATCGTTCCCTCAAACATTTGATTGGGTATGGTGAAGGGAAGGCACCATGAGGTAAGGTTTGTGGGAGGGCCATGTATTAGAGACGTGTAAGCGTAACAGAAAAGTTTCAGGAATTTTCACAATGTTAAGCTCTCCCAAAGTAGCACTATTGTACGCCCCCTCTCCCCTCCCCTTTGATGGTTGTAGAATTAATATCATAGAGACAGCATGTTTTTATAATAAATCGAAGCTAGGTAAATCTCAAGGTCAGCAGGTGGTGAGCTCCTGCCCCCTCACCCTTTGCTTCCAAGGTTTTAGAGTAACCACTGTGTCTGCGTTCATCAGTAATTCGATGGCCACCAAAAACTAACAGAAAGAGAAATACACACACCGTGAAAAATATCTAGGCATACTATGTGTTTTGCACTGCTTCAACGTAATTTCCTTGCAATTTCGACTGGGCTTTAGATCAGCTAATAGAAAGTCGCGTATAAATAGGGATCCGGAGTATACAATATTGGGGAAGTGTTGTGACCGCGTAGAAGTCCAATTAGAGGCTACGAAACTTCAGATGTGGGAATAACGTAAACATGCTTAATGTTTACGCTATTGTTTGGTTGTTGTGATGGCAAGCCATTGAGTACAAAACTGATAAACAAGCGCTGTCAAAACACGCATTTCCACTGCTGTCATAGTGGTTTGCGCAATGTAGTCTAGGTATTGCTCGTTGATTTTATGAAAGCGCCGAGTAACAGTAAAAACAACACTTCACTGTGCTACTCTGATGAACGATGGAAAAGGTTTTCTTGGCTCGCTAATGAAATGCCAGTGGTGCCAACTGTCCGCGCAAACACAAGGAGCATCAACAAACCGCCTGCGGTCACACAAAACACTCCCCTATTTAGACTTCATTACACGGATATACTATTACTGTCAAACCTATTTGCTGAAAGAACTCACATAGTACTTCTGGTTGTTGTAGTAACACATGGCTTTCTTCTCTTCCGGCCTCCTGCATTCGGAACAGCAGCTACCAGCGCTGGCCACTTGGTGTTCTGGAGGACACTGCAGCGGAGGACAGACCGTTCGCTGGCAGACAGTAGTCCCGTTCTGCGTGACAAAAATCGGAGATGCAAACGAAAAGTTTCAACACACGAAATGGTAAATAGAACACTAAGCGGAAATGAGTTACTATGCTTCTAGTTCATTTTATACGGAGTGTTTCACCGAACATCGACCAATTCATGTTTCCATAAAACGTCCGTATCAATACAAAAATAACATTGGTAACCTAGTTACTGTCAAGGAGCATATTTATTGAGGTGCACAACGTAAAGATAATAAAGTTTTTAATGCATAATTACCTCTTCAGTCAGTCTAAAGTAAACATATAGTTCCAATTAGAAACTTGATGGGCATCGTTGAAAGTCACAGTATCAATCGATATTAGGAAAATTTGGAGCGCGTGCTTTGCTTTTCTGCGTCCCGGAAATGTACCCCAATTTGACTGACCTGAGTGTTTTTTTCTGTTTCTAATATTATTTGAGTTCTCTCCCTGTCAACCTTGTGCCTGTTACACATGCGGTAATTATAGCGCAATACCACGTTTCGCACGCGCTCCAAGTCTTTCTAAAATCTACTAATTTAGTGGTTTTCGATTACGTTTATCAAGTTTCTAACTGGGAAAATATGTTTGTTTTCACAAATGAAAATATAATTATGGAAAACTAATTAAAACGTAATTATCCTATACGCCTTATGTATCTCACTGCACTGGACCTTCGGGACTGACAGAGACGGCAGCAACGTTTTTCTGGTCGATGCACAGTTTCACAAGGAAAAGCTTGGCCACGGTTCAGTGAAATACCAGGAAAACTACGGGTATTATTATTGTGGAAACATCCATATATTTTGATTTTCGTCAGTTAAGACCAGTAGTATAGCTGGTTACAAACTTGTCATTAAAAATTAAAAAAAAGCTTTATTAGGTAAAATGGCAATTTTTTGCATTTTTCGTCGTAGACCCTGTAGAGATAAGACCAAGAATTACACCCTTTTAGAGTACTCAGTTAATTTTACTAAGCAAGGTAACTAAATATGCCCGTGACCAAATATTTTAACAGCTGTCGACTTGCGGCGAGCCATCGCAAGTTTACGCAAATAACCAGCACAAAACATCCACACACAGGTGTTATAACTAGGGCAGGGCGTCGATTAAAAATTCAATCCGATTAATCGCCACTCTTAATCGATTGATTAGTCGATTCATCGGTTTCGGTTCATTTGGATGAATAATATATTTAAAAAAAAATGTCAAAATTACACTTTTTGCCTTTGCTGAATTTACGATAAGCGGCGCAATGTAGAATTAGAATTGTGAATAACCCGCGATATGTAGTTGAAAAGGGTTCAAAGACACTCATACTCAGATTATTAATTCACCTGCAGAGGCAAGGAGGTTCGTTGATTGTCTCCTGCAAGAGTGAGCTCCTTTGATTGTTCACAATAGTCCCTACTGCGCTAAACAGACACTCGAACGGCGTTGAAGTAGCCGGGACACATATAACCTTCTCCACTCGTTTGGAGTTACAAATGTCGCATCCCAGTTTACTTTAGGTCAGCATTTCACCTAAAGATTGCCCTTCATACAGGTGTACTCGTCCACGTTTGTGTGGTGAAAGCCTTTAATTTTTATTTTCTTATGGTTAGCCAAAATTTAACCAATTAACCGGTTAAAAATAATAGCGAATAAAGCATTAATAGATTATTCGGTGGGTTAATCGATCAACTGCCCAGTCCTAGTTATAACCCATGTCAGAAATAAATGTAAAAAAACGCACACTGCAAATAATACGAACCACAACAAAATACAACAACCTTACTCAAAAGTAAAACACAATGCGAAACTACACCGGTTCCACTTGATAAGCTCAGTGGCTCAATGTAGGAAAAAATAAAAATTTTAAAACTGCGTTGTATTAAAAAAAAAAAAAAGATATATATTAAACGTTGGAAAACTCGAACCAGCGTTACCACGGTTAGGGAAGGGCACATGCTGTCGAACTTCGTTTTATCTTTTCTTCGTCGGTCTGTCTAGGAGTGGAGACATCCTTTGTTGCACTCCGAGAAAATGTAAAGAAGACCGGACTCCCAAGGGCAACCGTTATGTTATCAAAATACACCTCCACATAGCGGCAATTACATGAAGTTATTCTACTCTCAAATTACCGACGTAATTTAAAAGTCCAATTAATGAAACGATTCAGCTCGATAAATACGGAGAAGCCATAATCTGACACTGCGTAGAATTCCGCACAAGCAGTAACAATTTATTTATTTTATATATTTATTCATTACATGTTACCCCGCAGTGCCAAGAGGCATTATTGCAGGGGGGGGGGGGGGGGGGAAGGTGTGAGGATACATTTGCACAAGAATTACAGTCGTGAAGTACAGAAACACACGAAAAAAAACAACAAACAAGTTCGCAAAAAAAAAAAAAAAGATTGTGTTGCAAAATTATAACACTTTAACTCATGAATCCACAATGGTATTAAGCTTTAGCCACCAATATAATTTTCCGTACAAGTAAAGGTATGAAGATACAAAGCACAGTGTTACACACCAAGCATTCTGAATACACATTCACAAAAGAGAAAATTCACTTCCCTTATTCCCAGCTATCACGTGACAGTTTATAAAAAAAAATTATAAGACGATGGAATTGAAACAGTTTCCTCTGCAATTCGTTCCATTGTTTAACGGTACTGAGGAAAAATGAGAACTTGAACATATTAGTCCTAGCTGAAAATTCTCTAATTTTTTTTGGAATGATCTAATCCGCGTGATAGAAAGTGTGGCAGTTCAGTGATTTTACTTTTATCCGGTCCTGTTTGATCATGATAGGTCCTATGTAAAAATTTTAAACGGAGGCGGCGTCTTCTAAAGTTCAGTGGTTCCCAGTCTAAGAGACGTTTTAGGGCAGTAACACTTTGTTTGAAGTTGTAATTTTTTGTAACGAACCTAGCAGCTTTGCTCTGGATTTGTACAATTTTCTGTTCTAGATAGCGTTCCTTAGGGTCCCAGAGCACGCAAGCGTATTCTAAAATAGGTCTCACACTAAAAATAAAAAGGGCGTTTTTTAAATTGGAAGGACAATCGCGAAAATTCCTCCTCAAGAAATTTAGCACAAGGTTAGCTTTGACTGTCATGTAGTCTACATGCGCGCTCCACGATAGGTTTTCCGAAAACTGAACGCCGAAATATTTTACTTTGTCCACCTTTTGTGGTGGGGTGCCATCAGTTGAATAGCTAAACGAAACAGGTTGTCATTTTCTGGTAAATGTTATATGATTGCATTTGGGAATATTTAAATTCATTTTCCATATTTCGCACCATCTTCTAAGGCGATCAATATCTTCCTGTAGCTCTAGACCGTCTGAATATGTCTTTATTTTGCGGTATAAGACGCAATCGTCCGCATAAAGACGAATGCTTGACGTAATGTCTGTAGAAATGTCATTTATGTATATTAGGAATAAAAGCGGCCCTAGCACTGATCCCTTTCTGCACTTTTAACAAGTTCGATGCACGTGATATTTCCATAATGTGCGCAATGTTACGTTATAGCTTTCTTTTTACTTGCACTGCGCTACACTGTTAAGCCGGGGTCACTGCTCTCATACATCATACAAAAGACAGCCTGCAAACACGAGTCACCGCAATATCCGTGGTTCGAATGCCGCGTGCCTAGTTTTCTTCTTGAACTCATTGCCATGCTGCATTTGAAGCACGGATCTCGCGGTGACTCGCGTTCGAATCTATGTGCAGACAGCCTCTTGTACGATGTATAGACCTTTCAAAAAAAAAAAAAAAGTCTCCCGGCTGGTTCCATTTTCAGTGTTCCTGCGTATTGCACGTGATTTGCCTGCGTGTGCTGGGCTCAGAAGATCGCACGCTGGGCTGAGGGGTTGTAAATATTGGAATGGTGTATAAGCAGTGTGACCCCAGCTTTAGTGCGAACACGACTTCGGCGCTTTTTGCATTTTATTTCGAAAGGCTACTGGCGGTGATCAAAGTGTACAACTTGGGTCAGCACTTTCCACCACTAGAGTAGTTTTGACGACAGTCCTTCAATACTGAGAGAAAAACAAAGAAACCCGGCGATAGCTTGTTCGCGTTGACAGTGTCGCGGACCGAATGCCATTCCACCGAGGAATTAGTGGATTTGGAAAGCGCGCGTGTGGAAACTTGCGGAGTGGGTGACACTCCCGACAGATGGCAGAAGCAGTCTTTGCTCTATTGTAGAGCTAGCTTGGAGAGGCTATGAGAGAAAAGGGGAGGCCGGAGACTCGAAGCTTGGGGGTCGGCTTGATAAGCTTTGGCACGATTGTTTCTCCTTCAGTAGCTCGCTGCATGCGACTCGGATGCATCGGCACTGGTGGAGCGAAGCGGCGAAGCACCAGCCAACGCACCAGCGCACAGCGCTTCAGTTCGTCAACAACTGGGGGCCATCCGTCTTCCTTGCGACGGGGTGGGTATGGGGTCTCGCTTCTAAAAGCGGCAAGGCCGAGGGTAGGGAGCTGTTTCACTAGAGACCCTCTGCGTTTAATCGCCCAATTTAATCCCAGAGTCAGGACTGCCTGAAACGCTAAGACCTTACCAGAAGGCAGCACTGGTGACCAAGGAAAGACGGGAACATATACCTGCAGTGTCTTTGCGTTCCTCTTTACTTATGATAGTATCCTTACTCTACTGAGAAAAGGAAGGCGACGAAGCCTTCTGAACAGGATCGCAGTTTCCTTGCTCCTGGATATTTTTCTAATTTGCTTTTTCTTTTTCTTTTTAAATTTTTTTTAGATTAGTTAGAGATTAATTAGAAATTAAAACTTCTAATTAATAACTGCACCTGGCAAAATTGCTCATCTACAGTGTAAACCAGTGTCGCCCCTACTGGCAGACCAACCTTACGCTGTATAAATCACTAAAACGTCCAATTTGATTTGAAATCAAAATTTGATTTGTACCAACGCTGTACTTCCAAACCACAACGGTATGTCTCGATGACCTGATTTTGGAAGGTGATGAACCTATGCAATCGGAAATCGCCA